TGAGGCAGGAAAATCACTGGAACCTGGCAGGTGGAGGTTGCAGTGGAGATCACGCCACTGCGCTCCAGCCTGAGTAACAGCGTGAGACTGTCTCAAGAAGAAAAAAAATTCTGTATGAACAGAACAAAATACCCTTAAATTTTAGAATACACCTGAAAGATGATTCAAAATATTTAGGAAAAAAGTTATAGGAATCAGGCAAATTCTGAGATTCCTTTTTCCCTGCAATCAACATCAGGAGTGCTGCTGCTGTTCCCAAAAAGATGGTAACAACTGCCACATCACATGTTTTCTTGGCTCAGACATAAGGTTATGTAGTGGTTGTTCAAGAATGGCTGGAATAAAAATCTAGGACAATCATTTTTTTTTTTTTTTTTTTTTTGGTTTGAGATGGAGTCTTGCTCTGTCACCAGGCTGGAGCGCAGTGGCACAATCTCGGCTCACTGCAACCTCCGCCTCCTGGGTTCAAGCGATTCTTCCACCTCAGCCTCCCGAGCAGCTGGGACTACAGGCGCATGCCACCATGCCCAGCTAATTTTTGTATTTTTTAGTAGAGACGGGGTTTCATCATGGCCAGGATGGTCTCGATCTCTTCACCTCGTGATCCGCCCACCTCGGCCTCCCAAAGTACTGGGATTGCAGGCATGAGCCACCACGCCCGCCGACAATCATTTTCTTCACCAAGTTAACTAACCTCACAGTGACTTGGTTTCATAACAGCAACATAAGGATAACAGAATAGCAGCAATAGCTCCCACCTATCTCATAAGATACTTTGGAGGAATTATATTAAGATTCAGAATAGAGCCTAATATCTAGTAAGTAACAATAATTGGCTGAAAAAATCGTTTTTTAAAAAAATTAGACATATTCATGAGGTAAAAGTACAATTTTGCTGCATTGATACATTGCATTGTGGTAAAATCAGAGCCTTCAATCAATCCTGGAAAAGAATAGTTTTAGAAAAAAAATTATGTCATGAAAAACTTTTAATATACAAATTCATCCAGTCAAGAATTAAAAACTATAGAAGTATCAGCTCTAAATCTGCCACATCTATCTCTTCTATACCTTAAGCAAGTACTCAGAAATAAAATGCTTGAGGTGCCAAAATACATGCATATGAAGTAAGAAATAAATGCAAGGTGCCAAGGCATTCTAGGTTTTCTAATAAAATTGTCACACAAAATAATATTATATTAATGTTCTACATGTTAGAGTGGAGAAGTTAATCACTGACGCAAAAAAGGAAAAGAACACATTATATACAACGTCGATAGAGAGAATCACAATTACAAACATCAGCCTGCATAGGAAAATCTTTAATTTCAAAGTTAGAAATATTTAAGTGCTAGTCATCGTTAAATCAGATTGTGGTTAGAAGAAACGGTAGTTTAAAACTAATAGTTGATAAGAAATTTGGTAATTTTAGAGTCAGTGTTTTGTTTTTAAATGTGTGTGTTTGTGAAGAATGTTTTATAAAATATAGACAGTACTATAAGATATTCTAATTTTTCTGGCTTTATTAATAAATTCTTTATGGAATTAATTTGATGAATTTCTATATTCCGAATTTTTCATGGCATAAATTTTTTCTAAAACTAATTTTTTCCAGGATGGATTGAAGGTCCTGATTTCACCACAATGCAATGTATCAATGTAGCAAAATTGAACTTTTACTCCCTGAATATATGTAATTAAAAAAATTTTTTGAGACAATTATTATAACTTGGCTGAAAAAAATGAACACAACACAAGAATTTTGGCCTGTACCTCCCAGCCATACTCAATCACCTGCTGTGCTTGACTCAATGATTATCAGAGTTGTTTGTTTTCCTTCTGCTGTATTCCCAGTTCAGGCAGCTCAGTAGTGGCCTGTGATTCCAGCAATTGAAATAGCTGGTAAGTAGTTTCTGGTTTGTTTTCTCAAATTTTCAGGGGCTTTCTCTACAAGTGATTTTCAGTACACGCCCCTCCACCCGTTGTTTATTCCTTTACCCTCAGGAAAACCCTCAGCCCTGCATCTCTGGTCACCGGCCCCCGTGGTACGTTTACATATGGCCACCAGGTGTCACCCTTCTCTCTACCACCATGCTTTGTGAATGGTTTTACCAGAGGTGAACGATGAAACATGGTCTCTGCTAAAAGCACAAAAATTAACCGGGCGTGGTAGCGGGCACCTGTAATCCCAGTTACTCGGGAGGCTGAGACGGAGAATTGTTTGAACCCGGAAGGCAGAGGTTGCAATGAGCCGAGATTGCGCCACTGAACTCCAGCCTGGGAAACAGCAAGACTCCGTCAGAAGAAAAAAAAAAAAGGGGGAATTTAAAATGTAGGTCTTTGATTTTTCAAATGTAGTTGACCTTAAGAATTTATGAATAGGCAGGGTGCAGTGGCTCACGTCTGTAATCCCAACACTTTGGGAGGCTGAGGCGGGCAGGTCACCTGAGGTCACAAATCGAGATAAGCCTGACCAACTTGGAAAAACTCTGTCTCTACTAAAAATACAAAATTATCCGGGTGTGGTGGCGCATGCCTGTAATCCCAGCCACTTGGGAGGCTGAGGCAGGATAATCGCTTGAACCCAGGAGGCAGAGGATGCTGTGAGCTGAAATCCTGCCACTGTACTCCAGCCTGGGCAACAAGGGTGAAACTCCATCTCAAAAAAAAAAGAAAAGAATTTTTGAATAAAACCAGAAAAATTGAGGTAAGAAAAAAAGAAAACAAAAATAGGACTAATAATTTCTGTTAAAAAAATTAACAGGCCATAGTTTGTGATGCTTAGTAAATGTGTTGCTGAAATGTGTAACTGTGAAGACTTGGGGGTTTCTTGAAATCTCACCCCATGTGAAATGAAACCAATATAAAACAAATGATTACCTAATGAATTGTAACCTATTATTTATGAAACAGAAGAGTAAGTGAAGCCTTACGGCAGTCTGCTTTGAGTACAGGACAATATTAAGAGAGAAAGAATTTGTCCTATGCTTCCAGAATGGTTTGTTGGTAAAATAACCAACAATAACCATTATAATCTAAGTCTTACAACTTAGATTATAATGTCCCCAGAGTGAAGAAAAATAATTAATTTGGCTACCACAGTTTAATGAAAATATTTCATATAACAAAATGTAAAAAAAATAGACAAATGTCTCCAAAATGACAAAGCAATTAAATATATACACAAAATGAACAAGAACATCAAAAAAATCATGCAGTATACAATATACATTTATTAAAGTATATGTATTTTTAATGCAACAATAATACTAAGAGGTAACATACAAGTCGTTAATAGTTTATCACTGGCTAATTAAATAACAGCATTATTTTATTCATTTTTCAGCTTTCCTACAATAAGCAGAAATCACATTAACCTTTTTTTCTTTTTTTTTTTTTGGAGACAGAGTCTCGCTCAGATGTTCAGGTTGGAGTGCAGTGGTAAGATCTCGCTCAATGCAACTACTGCCTCCTGGGTTCAAGTGATTCTCCCGTCTAGGCCTCTCAAGTAGCTGGGATTAGAGGCACCCACCATCATGATTGGCTAATTTTGGTATTTTAGTAGAGACACGGTTTCACTATGTCGACCAGGCTGATCTTGAACTCCTGACCCAGGTGATCTGCCTGCCTCCACCTCCCAAAGGGCTAGGATTACAGGCGTGAGCCACTGCACCTGGCCAACATTTACCTTTTTCTACATAACTTTTCTAACCAGAAAAAAAGAAATTGGTTTAAAATAAGAGACAAGATATCCTTGCTAAAATGTAATGCCTACAAAATAAACTTTTGAGCTATACATGGTATCCTAAAGCACCTGCCCTGCAAGACAGAATGCTTGTATCACATTTATGCAGCCAAATGCATGCGGCAACATAAAGTAAACACATGCCATCTGGCTATATATATTAAGACTCTTTTGAACATGGTCAGGTGAATCGATTTCCCAGAATCTAGCAATTCCTGAGAGTCCTGGTTAGACTTTTTTTTTAAATGTGCACCAGAACCCCAGTGACCCCAGGACAGGGCCTGGGAATCCTCTACACTGCTTGGTGGCTTCCATTGTGCCATCTCAAAATGAAATCGCTTACTACAGTTCATCAAGGGAAATACCACCAGGGTTCTGACTCCAGAGGCACTGGCCTAGGGAAGACACTGTGTGTGAAGGCCCAGCAGGGATACCAGCTGTCCCCACCAATCACAGTCCTTGTATAGGAGCCAAAGAAATGAATACCAGAGAGAGCAACAGAGGAGCAAGGGAGTCACATTCTGGCTCCTTCCCACAGGGATTTTGAAAGGAAACATGACAGCTGAGGATCAACTGGTTGTTTTCTGCTGTTTCCCTTCAATCTGATTCACATTCACACAATGAGGCCAGGCATGGTGACTCGTGCCTGTAATCCCAGCACTTTGGGAGGCTGAGGTGGACAGATCACGATGTCAGGGGTTCAAGACCAGCCTGGCCAACATGGTGAAACCTTGTCTCTATCAAAAATACAAACTATTAGCCAGGCGTGGTAGTGGGCGCTTGTAATCCCAGCTATTCAGGAGGCTGAGGCAGGAGAATCGCTTGAGCCTGGGAAGCAGAGTATTGTAGTGAGTGGAGATCGTGCCACAGCACTTCAGCCTGGGCAACAGTGAGAGGCTCCATTTCAAAAAAAAAAAAGAAACACAATGAGACAAGAGAAGAGCCATCTCCTTCCTTCTCTATTTACTACAGGCATCTACCTGAATGTAGTGCCGTATGAGATGTATCAAATAGACTGACTGAGTTTGAAACATGTTTCTATCACTGGCTAGCTATGAGATACTCTATACTTCACTTTCTTTGTCTAAAAAAGAAATGTGGTAAATAAACAGTACCTATCTCATAGAATTATCGTAAGAATTGCATGCAATAATGCATGTAAGTAGGTGCTCAGAAGAGTCAGACACCACATAAGTGCTTCTATCATCATCATCATCACCCTTATGATAATTTTCATTATCAGAACAAGGAGAGACAAGGTAGAAAATTATTTTGATACTTCAGGTCTGGAATACTAGAGTAGCATCCCAAATGCAGGCACCAATGCACTCTGAAGACCTGTAGGACACCTTCATGCAAATTAGAAAAAGACACCTCTTCACAACCTCTTTAAAGATATTCGCCTCCTACCTGCTAAAAACACCCATGGTAATACCCACGGACATCCATGATGCTTTTTCTGGGAAAGGTGCCTCTTCCAGTTGTGCAGTGTGCAGCCTTCATAGCTGTCCAACCCACAGCACAATCGGATGGAAGAGTCCCCATAGCTTGGTGACAGATGAGTTGCTGGGTAACACAGAGGGAAGATTCAAAGGAAAAGTCGAGCGGGTCCAGAAAATACCTAGATACATATGTAAAAATCTGGTAAGATTATGACATCTATGTGCCAGGGTTCAAAGGTTTTCTCAGACGTTAAAATGAATCATGTAAGTCCCCAAAATTAAGCAGCCCTCTTCCAAAAATAGGAAATGAGATGACATAGGTGTATGTGCCTGAGGTGATGGAGAAAATGAAGAAAGCCTCTAGATGCAGCTTGAGGTTCATGAGAGGCAGTTCCAGAGGGGAAGTCACAGCTAGGGATCACTGGCATACAGAAACTCAAAAACCTAAATGGGGAAATCTTTTGGAGGAAATGAACAGAGAAGGCTAAAAGCAAAGAGTTCTTCAGGCAGTTTCTATTTTTAGGTTCAGCTCTGTCCTGAAACACGAAGAGCTCCATAAGTGCACTTCCTTTTTGAGTCTCTAATTCTGTCTCCTTCCCACAGTGAGTCTACAGGCTGCATGTCACTCACATTCGGCTAAGACGTATTGCCCCATGGCTCCTCCTGTGGAGACAAGAGACCCAGGAGAGAGGCATCACAAACCCAGGCATCATCTGGACTCTTCTCTGTTCCTTATTTTCCTCATTCACCTGTCTCAATTGAGACCACCCTCATGGCACTTCTGGATTTCGAGCACCATTATCCCTCATCTGGAGTTGCTTATTGACTTTCTACCTGGCGTCCTCGCCTCCCAACCCTTAACAGCTCATTCACCATATAAGGGAGATTGTGGCTCTCCTTTCTTAGGATCCTTCAATGACACCCCAGTGATCATAACTCAGTGTCTCAAAAGACTCAGGACTCTGAGCTGGCTTCCACCTGCCTCTCTTTTCCCCACACCACACATGTTGAGGGGGTAGAAATGCATAACTGGTGACTGATAGTTATGCAAACTCAGCGTCAAGGTACAGTCATTATTTCTAACCTCCCAGCATGGCTTACAGTCCTCCACTTGGCATGGTTGCTCCGTCTGTGTAGACCTTCCATCATCTTCAACCTCACCTAATGGAATCTCACTTCTCCTTCAAGATCCAGAAGGCTTTCTTTATCCCCAGCTGAATGTGATCATTCTTTCCTTTGACACCCTAAGCATTTGCTCCCTGCCTGCCTTAGGACCTCATGGGGTCTTCTTTAGCTACATTTACTTGCCATCAATTTCACACCCTACCAGATTTGGGTTCTGAGAATAGCCACAGTGACTTCTCAACCTCAAAGCCCCTGCACCACCTTAAACAGCACTTGCAAAATAGTAGGTGTTCTGAAGATGTTTGTTGAAAGTAGAGACTTTCATTCTGGGGAGAACCATTAATTTCTGTCTCCCAGGGAAGTGCTGGTGTTCCCAAAGACTATAAAAGAGAGGCCGGGTGCAGTGGCTTACACCTGTAAACCCAACATTTTGGGAGGCCAAGGCAGGTGGATCATGAGATCAGGAGTTCAGGACCAGCCTGGCCAAAAAATTAGCTGGGTGTGGTGGCGCATGCCTGTAATCCCAGCTACTCAGGAGGCTGAGGCAGGAGAATTGCTTGCACCCAGAAGACGGAGGTTGCAGTGAGCAGAGATTGCGCCACTTCACTACAGCCTGGGCAAAAGAGTAAAACTCAGTCTCAAAAAAAAAAAAAAAAAAAAAAAAAGAATATAAAAGAGAAAAATGCTTCCCACGGATGCCAGATCCCCTCCGCCCTCCCTCTGCCCCTCTTCCTACTGTGCCCTGGGCAGACGTACTAAGAGACCTCCTCCTTGTTCCTACTCACTTGAAGCCTGCCTCTTCCTTAAGATTATGAACAAAATTCCAATCAACAAGATGATGACACAAACAGCAATTCCACTGATGACTCCCATGACGAGGGTGCCAGAGTGTGAGGGCTCTAAAACATATAAAGCAATTTAAAGCCTTTGAGAGCCACCCCCAGCCCACCCCCTAACAAAGAGCTGATTCTCATTTCACTCCCGTAATTATCACCTCGGGCATTCCTCCCAACCCCCAGCAGATTTTCTAAGCTCCTGGTTCTCATCAGTCACATACCCCAGATGGCAAGGAGGGGCTGATCCAGGCCTGGGTGCTCCACCTGGCATGTATATCTCTGCTCTTCCCCAGCGGGTACAGCCAAGGCTATCCAGCCCTGGTAGGTCCCATCCCCATTGGGCAATACGTCTTTAGGTTCAACCTCCTCGGCAGTCAGTGGCTGCCTATCCTTTAGCCACTTCATGGTGATGTTCCGGGGGTAGAAGTTCAGGGCCCGACATCGTAGAGTGGTCACTGAAGAGGTCACGTGATGTGTCACCTTCACCAAAGGAGGCACTTAACAGGAAAGAGGAAGGATAACCAGAGGGGATCTTTTTACCCTTGCCAGAAAGGCTGGAACTTTCATTTCCTTTTCTGGGTTGGAGTAAGGAAATGCCCTTTTAAGGAAAAAAACAAGCTGCAGGAGAGACAACATTTTGTGTCCTAAGATTAGGCTCTTACGCAGTATCACTTGGAGCACAGTCAGATCAGTCTGTTCTCTTGTCCAACACGTAAATATACATACCTGTTACCCATGTTCTCTGTTCTGACAAATAAAATTCCCCTTTATGTGCATTGAAAATGATTGCATATGGATGGTCATTTTCACCTGAATAAACATAATAGGCATATTTCAAAGAAGGGGTCTTGTGGCCGGGTGTGGTAGCTCATGCCAGTAATCCCAGCACTTTGGGAGGCCGAGGCGGTCGGATCACTTGAGGTCAGGAGTTTGCCTGGCTAACATGGTGAAGCCCTGTCTCTACTAAAAATACCAAAAAACCCCACAAAAACAAAAAAAAAATTAAACAGGCATGGTGGTGGGTGCCTGTAATCCCAGCTACTTGGGAGGCTGAGGCAGGAGAATTGCTTGAACCCAGGAGGCGGAGGTTGCAGTGAGCCAAGATCATGCCACTGCACTCCAGCCTGGGTAAAAGAGCGAGACTCTGTCTCCAAAAAAAAAAAAAAAAAAAAGCGGGGCCTTTTAAGACAGATAGTTTCGGTGATTATTGCTATGTTCTGTGAAAGAAACTTTTAACCTAAAGGATTCTGCTACTCTGATAGTTGGCCTCACTTGGTATTTTTTTTGTCCTGGTATTCACGAGACTTGATATCTCTGAATTCTTTTGTGTGTGTGTGTGTGTGTGTGTGTGTGTGTGTGCGTGCGCGCGCATGCGTGTATTTTTGACATCTCTGAATTCTTAACAGGTGTAAATATACAAAGGATTATTGGTTAAATAAAAACAAGGGCTGCAGACACTTCCCTTTGAGCCATATGCACGGAAAAAAGAAATTAAACCCATTACTCGTGGCTGTCTCATACATCTCAATTATAAGGTAGAGACTCTAGGATTGGGAAAGTCCCTTCCCAGAACTTAGAGAGGCATATAACATGAGCCACCTCTTAAACCCCAGCCAGGGATTCCATGCCCTGCATCCTCTTCCACTCTGCCACTAGAGTGTGGGGTCAGAAGGCTGTTTCCACCATACCTTGCTGGTCCAGAACACCTCTCCCCAGTTCTAGCAACTGCTGCAACTGTGCAGGGCAGTCCCTCTCGAGGTAGGCCCTGTTCTGCCGGGCCCGAATCTTGTGCGCTTCCCACTCCAGCTTGGTGGGCCAGGCCCTGGGCTCTGCTGCTCTCCAATCCAGCGTGTCAGAGCAGAATTCAAGGTGGTCCTGCCCATCATACCCATACTTCCAGAAGCCCTCGGTGCTGTTGTCCTCTTTCATTTCGCAGCCCAGGATCACCTGCAGGGTGTGGGACTCTGGAAAAACCCCCAGCCTTGTTACTACAACCAAAGGAGTAGGTCGCTATTTCCACCATCCCCAATGACCAAATGTTCTCAGGAAGAAAATTCCTTCCCTCTTCCCTGCTCCCACAACACCTCAGACTTCTAGCTATTTCCCTCAAGATGCATGAAAAGATGACACGCTCCGACAACCTCAGAAAGATGAGACCACCTCTCCACATACCCTTGCTGTGGTTGTGATTGTCCATAATAGTCCAGAAGTCAACAGTGAACATGTGATCCCACCCTTTCAGACTTTGACTCAGCTGTAGCCACATCTGGCTTGAAGTTCTACTGGAAACCCATGGAGTTCGGGGCTCCACACGGCGACTCTCATGATCATAGAACACGAACAGCTGGTCATCCACGTAGCCCAATGCTTCAAACAATGAAAGACCAAGGTCCTGCTCTGAGGCACCCATGAAGAGGTAGTGCAGAGAGTGTGAACCTGGAGACAGAGCAACAGGCCTTCACCATGTGCAGCAGGAGGGGGCCGGAAGGTTGAGGCTCCACACATACCATCAGCTGTGTCTGTCTCATTCCGGTAAGGGTGAGATGCAGTCCTGTCTTTCCAGTCCTGGTTGCTCCCTCCTTGTGCACCTTTCTCTGCCACATGTGGCTGCCTCCCCTCATTGCCCCCAGACCCTGTTCCATTACTCATAGTTGGACAGCCTCCACTAGAGCTGGTGGATTCTAGAAAATGCTAAGGTGTATCTGGCCGTGGAAATTGAACTAAGGAGTTGGTGCTCAGAGCAAATTTGACCCAAATCCTGAGGAATTCGTTCATGTGGGTTTGTTTTTTGTGTTTGTTTTTTTTAACCACCTTCACAGCTAAAGCTTCTTGTGTGCAAGTCTTTTCCTTGAAATGCTATAAGGATGTGCTGATAAATAGATCAGAGTAACTTTTCTGGATGACAATAGGGCAAAAGCAAATACAGAAGGAGGCCCCCAGAAAGATGAAAGGACAAGACCTCTCGGCAAGTGTGAGTTTCCCGATACCTTTCCTCAATTACAGAATGAGGGGTTCTGGAATGTTTCCCCAGTGCCTACAGGGGCACCTGGCATGTAGTGGGTACTTCAGAAATACTACTTGGAAGAATAAATGATGACACCTAGATTTTTAAGATTTTAATCTTTTTTTTTTTTTTTTTTTGAGATGGAGTCTCTCTCTGTTACCCAGGCTGGAGTGCAGTGGCACAGTCTCAGCTCACTGCAACCTCCGCCTCCTGGGTTCAAGGGATTTTCCTGCCTAAGCCTCCTGAATAGCAGGGACTACAGGCACGCGCCACTATACTCAGCTTTTATATTTTTAGTAGAGACGGAGTTTCACCATGTTGGCCAAGCTGATCTCAAACTCATGACCTCAAGTGATCCGCCCGCCTCAGCTTCCCAAAGTGCTGGGATTACAGGAGTGAGCCACCGCGCCCACCCTTGGCCCTGAACTCTGACACTGAACTACCTATATGGCCTCACCACTTGGATACTTGACTGGAATCTCAAAGTTAACCTGTCCAAATCCAGATCCTTGATTTGCCCTAAACTGCTCTTTCTGCTGCATTCATCAACTCAGAAATGGCATTGCCAATTACCCCACTGCTCAGGCCAATACAATTAAAATAAAGAACAAAGTCAACTTTAACTCCTCTTTTTATGGGGAGTCAGGGGAGACAGGATCTTGTTCTGTCACCCAGACTAGAGTACAGCGGCACGGCTCACTGCAGCCCAACTTCCTGGGCTCAAGCAATCCCCCCACCTCAGCATTCCAAGTAGCTAGGACTACAGGTGCATGCCACCACACCTGGCTAATTTTTCTATTTTTTGTAGAGAAGGGGTTTTGCCATGTTGCCCAGACTGGTCTCGAACTCCTGAGCTCAAGAATCTACCCTCCCTGGCCTCCCAAAGTGCAGGGATTATAGGCGTGAGCTAACAAACCCAGGCAATTCTTCTCTTTGTCTCACACAACATAGAACCCTTCTGCAATCCGTCTCTTGCCTGAACTGTGTCACCGCTTCCTGGCTGGGCTCCCTACTTTTACCATTGCTCCCTTCATTCTGCCTTCCACATATAAGCCAGAGCAGTCTTTGTAAAGCCTATGACGGTCACTGTTACTTCTCACCAGCATTCACACCGCAGCCTACAGGCCCTGTACAAGTCATTATTGGCTCCTCTTCTGAGCTCATTACCTACTTCTTGGCCTCTACCCTCCAGTACGCCTTATGATTCTTTCAACCCTAGCCTCTTAAGTAGGAGATTGTCTCCTAGGTGACATGTGGCAAAGATTACAGGCATTTTTGGTTGCCAAGACAGGGGGAGGCCGCGTACAGTGACTCACGCCTGTAATCCCAGCACTTTGGGAAGCCGAGGCGGGCAGATCATGACGTCAAGAGATCGAGACCATCCTGGCTAGCCTGGTAAAACCAAGTCTCTACTAAAAATACAAAAATTAGCCAGGCATGGTGGCACGTGCCTGTGGTCCCAGCTACTTGGGAGGCTCAGGCGGAAGAATTGCTTGAACCCAGGAGGCGGAGGTTTCAGTGAGCCAAGATTGCACCACTGCACTCCAGCCTGGTGAAAGAACAAGACTCCGTCTCAAAAAAAAAAAAAAAAAAAAAAAAGAAAGACTGGGGGACTGCTCCTAGGATCTAGTGAGTAGGGAGGATGAGCGCCCCTAGGGCCTGGTGAGTAGGGAGGATGAGCGCTCCTAGGGCCTGGTGAGTAGGGAGGATGAGCGCTCCTAGGGCCTGGTGAATAGGGAGGATGAGTGCTCCTAGCACCTAGTGAGTAGGGAGGATGAGGGCTCCTAGGGCCTGGTGAGTAGGGAAGATGAGCGCTCCTAGGGCCTAGTGAGTAGGGAGGATGAGTGCTCCTAGCACCTAGTGAGTAGGGAAGATGAGTGCTCCTAGCACCTAGTGAGTAGGGAGAATGAGCTCTCCTGGGACCTGGTGAGTAGGGAGGATGAGCGCTCCTGGGACCTGGTTAGTAGGGAGGATGAGCGCTCCTAGGGCCTAGTGAGTAGGGAGAATGAGCGCTCCTAGGGCCTAGTGAGTAGGGAGGATGAGCGCTCCTGGGACCTGGTGAGTAGGGAGGATGAGCGCTCCTGGGACCTGGTGAGTAGGGAGGATGAGCGCTCCTAGCGCCTAGTGAGTAGGGAGGATGAGCGCTCCTAGGACCTAGTGAGTAGGGAGGATGAGCGCTCCTAGGGCCTAGTGAGTAGGGAGGATGAGCGCTCCTAGGGCCTAGTGAGTAGGGAGGATGAGCGCTCCTAGGACCTAGTGAGTAGGGAGGATGAGCGCTCCTAGGGCCTAGTGAGTAGGGAGGATGAGTGCTCCTAGCGCCTAGTGAGTAGGGAGGACAGGATACTGCTAGACATGCTGCATGCAGATGGCAGTCCCCGTCCCACCACACACACACAAACACACGAGTAGTGCTGAGAAAACCTGCTTTTTAATCCAACCTGCCAGGCCCACTCAGTTTGCCTGGGAAATAATGCTGGCAGTCAATATTCTCATTTCCTTCGTGTCTCTGCTCAAGTGTCAGAGTGACTTGCCCTGACTTCTCTGCTTCTCACAACACCTGTCGTTTCCTGATGTATATCTTTCTGCTCATTTGCTTACTGTCATCTCTCCCACTAGAATGTGAAATATCAAAGGATAAAGGCTTGTTTCCCTGCCCTATCCCTTGGGCCTAGAACAGTGCAACACATGGTTGGGACTCATTTACACTTGTAAACAACGAATATTTATGCTCAACAGCAAATTTTATTATTCAACCTCTAACACAGTGTGATGTTTAAGAATCCTAGTTATGAACTGGAGACATTAGCTCTGCCACCAAAGCCCTGTGTACCATTGAGCAAATCTGCCGGGAAGCAGGCCAGGCCGTGCACGCCTTATTCTTGTTATGTGTAAAATGTGGATACATAGTACCAACCCTCAAAAAGTGCTGTGCTGAGGCCGGCAGGTGACCCACAGAACACTGTGCCAGACTACAGGGCAAAATCGCTGTTAACTAAGCTTACAAGCAGCTGTAGTACTTGAAATAACATCAGAAAACCAGATTACTTATGTTCTTGGTAACCTGAAAAGAGTTATTTAATCTCAAGTCCAATTAACTTCTAGTAAATTAAGCTTATTAATAGCTCCTACCGCCCTATGCCTAGTGAACGTCAAATAAGATCAGATATGAATATGACTGACAACTGAGTGCACTGCCTACATGTTCACTATCAGTACTCTGACATTCTTTAGAGAAGGCCTCCTGATTACACAGCACATTGCAAATCAATAAAGCCTAGCTGGAAAGAAACTGTTCCGTTCAAACGTTCAAAACTAACATACACTTAATTTTCCAGGCTCAGGAACCACTGCCAAGAGTGGGGAAAGGCCCGAGGTAGGCCTCTCTCAGGAGCCTCCCACCCGAGAGACCTCCACCCCAGGTCTCACCAAAAGTGGGTGGAATGGGGACGAATTCAGATCCCAGCCCCACTCCCCCGTGCCCCCACCGCCCAGCGCTTTCGTTCTGAGATGGAAACCCCGCGCGAGCCCCTCTGTGGGTTCGGTCGGCCTTTTAGGCAGGCACACAAGGAAGAACTTCCTGTTTGGAGAAGCCCGGGGGAAAGCCGCGCAGCTGACACTAGAAACAATAAACCCGAAATCCAGGTGCAACGAGCCCCAGGCTTAGCTGAGCTCGAGTGAGAAACTACGAGAGTTATTTAAAAGTATTCTGGTCTGGGGCAAGGGAGTGGGCGGTTCCGAAAGTCACTCCGAAGAGCCTGGACTGCCGGGGGAAGGGCAGTTCCCGGGACGAGGGACCCCCAGCGGCCCCTCAGTGGCAGGCACTCCCTCCCGGGATCCGGACGCAGAAAGTAGGGGGCGGGGCGGCGGATAGGGCTGAGCAGGTCCTCCAAAGTGACCAAACTCCCGAGCGCAGAGAAATGCTACTTTCGGTTTTCCCACCCCCCGCCGCGCCCCCAGTGCGCCCGCAGCCCTCGGACTCACGCGGCAGGCGCCCCTGCGGGACCGCGGTCTGCAAAAGCGTCAGGAGCAGAAGCGCCGGCCCGGCTCGCGGGCTCATTTCTCCGGCTCTGACTGCGCGTCGCTGTCAGTCTCCGCTTCTTTGCTGGGGCGGGGAAACGAGCGGCTCCAGAAGCCACCCTACGGCTATGGCTTACGCTCAGGAGATGCCCTGCAAAACTTCCTGGTGAAAAGCAAGAGGGCTTCAGAACGTTAATTTCCTCTCCTACAGCAGAAGATGCCTGCCTGTGAAACACTCGGCGATCCAGCGGCCCCTCGGTTTTTAAACCCTGAAGGGGTGTTGCCGAATGGGGAAAGTGTCTTCGCAATCTTCTGATGTAAACTGTAGATATTTAAATATGTAATAATTTCAAGTTTCAATTACACATTTAAAAATGTTATCTCAACCTTAGACCAACTCGTATGTCTTATCTGATTTACAAATATAAAGCTTTTCCATTGTTTTTTGATTCGAATTAATTAAATCGTAACATTAACCAATTAGATCCTACTGAAATACAGCCTTCATAATTGAATTATCTGACACGTGTTTCACAAACTTGACAGCATTGGGATTACCTGGAGAATGATTCAACATATTGAGGCCTGATTTAATGGGTATTGTTAGGTAGTTAAACATTAGTATCTGGGAGGAGATCAGAGACGAGAGCGGAAAGGCTGTTAGGAAGACAGCCACTGGCCCATCTAAGTTCAGCCCCAAGACTGCCCTAATTCCACCCTAAGGGATGGAGTTTGTGGTAGAGTCTGTGACCAGCACATCCTGGAGAAGCAAGAAGGAGGGCACAGGCAGAAATTCCCTAAAGCGGCACATGCCCAGTAACATAAAACCCCGTCCTCACGTTCACCCCAAAGTTCATCCTACCATCACTGTAACAGAATTTATACATGGTTTTGCTCCCCATCCCTGGGAGGCTTTTATAACGAATTATAGGTAAGAACATGCACAGTTTAGTTTACATAGCTATAAACTGCCAATCAAATAACATCATCCTGTCACTCAGACACAGCGAAAACCTCAACTCCTCCCACAAACCCCATAAAGGCACTTTGAGCTCCGTAAAGAGGTGCTGATTTCACTTTGCAGAAATCAGCCCTCTGTCTCCCTGAGGGTGTATTACTGTGCTTCAATAAAGTTTGCTTTAAGCTTGCCTTTTGGTGTTAGTTTGCAATTCTTTCCTCACTAGCACAATAAGCAAGACTGCTGGTCCAGAGCTCTGGCTCTGTTAATGTCAGTTAGAGGATCCATCCCAACGCAGAATTCTCGGTAACAGTATGGGAGGCCACCTGGGCACTGGGATTTTAAAAGCTTTCCTCCTCCCTCAAAGAAGTTTAGGAATTATTACCTTAAACATTTCAAACCATATTAATAAATTTAATACACTTGATTTGCTCAAAACTTTACATATGTAGCAAATTCAACAGGCATGATTTTTATAAGCATGTGTGCAAATTTTGACAAGTTAAGAAAATCAAACAGGATATCAGGACCTCAACTGTAGGTAAATAGATAAAATTACATGGGAAAAATGTAGAATATTGATGGTGGGCACATTGGGACTGATAGTACTGTTACTCTTGTCAATTTTTGGTAACATATAATTTATATATCATACAATTCATCTATTTAAAATGCAACAATTAATGGATTTTAGTATATTTACAGAGGTATTCAACCATTACCAAAATTTTACATTTCTCTGTCTCCCCGAAGACAAACTATGTACCCTGAATTCGTCACACCCCTGATTCCTCCATTCTCCACCCCCTCCCCTGCCAGTCCTAGACAATCATTAATCTACTTTCTTTCTATTTGGACCATTTAGTATACATAGACCCCTATAATATATTGCTTTCTTGTGACTGGCTTCTTTAATTTAGCATAAGGTTTTCATGTATGTTTTCCATGGACCAATAATGTCTATTATAAGGACATACCACAGCATTTTATTTATTCATTCATTGGCTGATGGACATTTGTTTTGTTTCCACTTTGTGGCTGTTGGGATTAGTGCTGACACGAACATTTATGTACATGTTTTTGTGTGGACTTACGTATGGATTTCTCTTGGTTATATATTTAGGAGTGGGTTGCTGGGTCATATGGGAACTCTGTTTAACTTTTTGAGGAAATGCCACACTGTTTTCCAAAGTAAACATTTTATCCTCCCATCAGCAGTGTATGAGAGCTCTGAGTTCTCTCCATCTTTGCCTGGGTCTTTGAATCAGGACCCCGGATAGAACAAAAATGTGGTTATTCAGTTGTTCTACCATCATTTATTGAGAAAATTATTTCTTAATTGAAGTGTTTGTTGGGCTGGTCTCGAACTCCTGACCTCAGATGATCCGCCTGCTCGGCCTCCGAAAGTGCTGGGATTACTGGAGTGAGCCACTGCACCAAGCTGACTTACTGAACTTTTAAAGTATCCAATTAGCTAATGAACAAAGCTGCTCCAAATTTTTCAATTATTAAAAATCTTAAGACAATACCTAATATGGCTAATCTGAACTTCATAAACTTTGTAGGAATGCTTATCAACTTAGATTGGTATAAAGTTGAGTTAAAAATTAGAATATACATCATCTCAGCTATAAATTGTCATCAGGTGAATTCTTGCAACCATTTGAAATGCTTAGAATAGGAAATATGTATAAATTCTTTAACATAAAATATTGTTACAAGACCTCTGGGATGTCAGTTTTTCTGGCCAGACTTTATGCTGCAGCACCTTTGCCCAAGTTCTTGTCCTGCATCTGGGAAGAACGAGGTACACAGGCAAGAGTCAAGAAGTTCCAATAGTTGCAATAGGTTCCAAGAAGTTCCAGTAGTTCAGCTCACCTTGTCAACTCCTGTTCACAGTCTTCAAAATTATCTGAAACCTGCAATCGAGAGTTATAATCCATCCTTTGAAGAGTCTTAAAACAAGACAACATTTGTCTATAAATGTTAAAATGTCCTAGGGTGGTCACAGTCAAAAACACAACTGGCAAGGAAATTTGGCCACCTCTGTGATTTACAATAAGCTAACACAATAGCCCTAATTATGACTGATAACACAAACTCAGACATCAAAACTCTAGAAATTCTGTATAATTTTGGAACACATATTAACATTTTTCACTAAAGTATAACCTGAAGATCAAACACTGCTTTAGTTTGACAATCCTGTATAACCAAATATGTCAAATGATCTTGTTTACCTCTCCTTTGGACACTCCAGGGGATGCTACTCCTCTGTAGCATCCAAAAGTTAGGGGTTAGCAAAGATAATTGTGAAGCTGGATAGGCTCAAAACACTCAGCGGGTCTCTACTCATCTCTGGCCTCTAATTGCTAAATGCTAGGAGCAACTCTCATTGGTGGCTAAGGTGGGAGGATCTCAGAAGCCTAGATGCAGTGAGCTATGATTATGCCACTGCTCTCCAGCCTGGGCAACAAAGCAAAATCCTGTCTCAAAAAAAAGCAAAAAACAAATCACCTACGCTGCGTTTATCTCACGATTAAAATAACAAAAAAGAAAAAAAAAGTATGCAGTCTCTGTAGATCCCTGGGGTTTGTTGTAATTCAGAAAACGATACCCCAAAATAGAGGCCTCTGAAGCCAAAGTTTTTCTCTGACCCTCTCCTACCCTCCTGTCTCTCAGTCCTATTCTCCCGAGTCTAGCCACAGAAACGAGAATTCCTCTTCCTCAAGTTAGGCCATAGAAATCCAAACACCTGTTTCCCGGAGCCACCCATAAAACCTAAAAATATTACTCTGACTTTCCCTCTGTTGTTCTGTGTAAACTGGCCATAAAGAAATGATCTGAACTACCTTATTTGACCATAGATCATAAGGCTCCGTTCCAGAGACGATCCAGAAGGAAGCAATGCTGCATGGAGAGGCCAGGAGGAATCTAGACAGACAGCCCTGCCAGGTTTCCATGCTCAGTGTATTAGCAGTCCTGTTTCAACATGGGTGCCCATAGTTTGTTGAATCTAAAAAATAAAAATGGACAATTTCCCCTGATTCTGGGAGCTGAAGTCTTCCGTGTACACATTAATAAATCGGATGCATTTTATTCGATTAATTTCCCTCTTGGTGGTGGTTTTCCACGAATCTGCAGAAGCCAAAGAGTAAGTTTCCCCTTGGCCCCTATAGGTTCTTCCGCTTAATTTGTTACTCTTATTTAAGACATAATTAAAGTGTCTTCTCCACTTTAATCTCCAGTGGATGTAAGATTAATTCTATATCCACTATTTGGTAAGACTGGCCATTTTCTCCTTTGATCTCTACTTGGTACTGACACACATAAAACATCACTGCCTGTTTTTATCCCCATGTCTTTTCCCTTTCACTGTAAACTGTCGGCAATACCAGCGTAGTTATCATTTCTACTGCTTAATAATTGTTTTGGGCAAGTGAGTGAATCCACCCACATGAGTTTCTTGTCTATTTGATAATTCACTCTCTTTAGGCATAGTATTAAGTCCTAAGGTCCTGGGAGCCAGCCTGCGTACTTGGCTGCTCCGGGGTCCTACTTCAGTTTCCCAGCTTCTCAGTGCTGTTACTGTCAGTCGTGGGTAATAAGTATTTTTGTCCATCAAAAGACTCTGTACGTGAATGAGTTTTTAAATCTGCTGAGTAATGCAGTGTCAACCCAGTTAATGATTTGCCAGGCGGCTGGATCAGCCGCTGTCCCTTTACTGGCATTTTCATTTGGAGAGTTATCTAGTGTCTGCAAGCACAAACATCCTACATTGTAAATGCCTCTGGACACAGAGAGATTGAAGCCAAAGCAAACCTATGTTTTCCTTCCCATGTTCTTGCCAGGCTGTGCAATCCATGCAGTCTCATGGCCCGCCAGAGCCTCAGAATTATCTTCTATCAAATAAATATAATAATTTCTCTGTCCACTGAAAGACACAGAAAACTAAGTGCATGGCTAGAGGTAAAAAAATTTCTGGTAAGGTGCTATGGCTCACACTTGTTAATCCAACATTTTGGGAGCCTGAGGCCAGCAGATACTCTGAGGTCAGGAATTCTAGACCAGACTGGCCAACATGGCGACCCCATCTCTATAAAATATTAGCCAGGTGTGGTGGCTCACACTTGTTGCCCCAGCTACTCAGGAGGCTGAGGCAGGAGGATCGCTTGAGCCCGGGAGATTGAGGCTGCAGAAAAAGAAGTTACCCTCTTTCAACAGCTCCTGGT